CAATCTGAAAATCAAGTTGAGCCATTGGAACTGGAAGACAGCAGGGAAGAAGGGGAACATGTGAATAACAAGAGACCCAAACCGGGTCATTCATTTGTCTGGGATCACATGGTTAGAACTAAAAAGGTTAAAGATGGGAAAGCCAAGTTTGCCATTTGCAACATTTGCAAAGCCCATGTTCATGCACATCCAAATAAAAATGGTACCTCATCTTGTAGGAACCACCTTAGGCAGCAATTAAGAATTCACCTTATTATATATTGAAACCGGTTTGTATAAGATCTCAAGGGATGAGTTGTATGTATGGGTTGTCATCCTCACTTTAGCTAAGTCATAGGCTAAAGTGATAGTCTTAACCCTACTTTCATGATTTCCCATAACTTGTCATTCACTTTACCTTTCTTTTGTCAACCTTTCTTAGTTGCTTGTAAAAGCTTCTTTCCTTGTAATTTGGTTTTGGCTTTTCCCCTTGTTAGGGCAAATTTTAGGGATTGTGTTGGGGTAGTTAGCCTATAATCTCTTGTAGCTTTCTTTTTGGCTCTCTATAAGAGTGGCCTTCACTCTCTTGTAATCTTCATAATGAAATATACAACAAATATTGAAACCAAAATTCAACATTATATGAAAGGTGCTGAGAAATGTCAATCTATATTGACAAATGATGCAATGGTTGGTGGGACTTTGGGTTACCACTCTTTGAATCAGAAAAGGTGTGACAATGTTCTCATTGAGTTAGTTATAAGAGATGAGATGCCATTCATGGCAGTTGAAGGGGAAGGGTTTTTGAAGTATAGCTTTGAGCTTCAACCTCGTTTGAAGGTGCCTAATAGGAAGAAGGTTGCTACTGGTTTGTGGGAGTTGTTCTTAATCGAGAAAGCTGAGATCAAGAGTGTGATGGAGGATTAAAGAATAAGTATCACAACCGATACTTGGACCTTGATCCAAAACATAAACTACATGGTTGTCACTGCCCACTTCTTGGGCAATGAAGGGAAACTACATAAAAGGATCATAGCATTAAAAAAAAATCACATGTCATAATGGTGATGACATTGGGATGCATCTGGATGAGTGTTTGAATGATTGGGGTATAGAGAAGCTTTTTAGCATTATGGTGGACAATGCTACATCTAACAATGTGGCGGTTGAATACATGAAGAAAAGACTAAGGTCTTTAAAGACCTTAATGTTAGAAGAGAAATACTTGCACATAAGGTGTGCTTGCTACATTCTTAATTTGATTGTTAAGGATGGAATGAAAGATCTTGCCAGCTAAATGGAAGGGATAAGGAATTGTGTGAAATGTATTCACTCAAGTGCAGCAAGGTTGGACAAGTTTAGGGACTTTGCTATCTTAGAGAGGTTAGATAAGAAGGCAACCGTTCCCTTGGATGTATCTACAAGGTGGAATTCCACCTATAAGATGCTTGATTGTGCTTACAAGTATCAAAATGTGTTTAAGAGGATGGCAGATGAAAACGCTTTATTTGTTACTTATTTCGAAGAGAAGATGGGGGACCCAAAGACAAAAAGGGTGGGGCCTCTAAGTTATGATAACTGGAAGGACGCACATTCATTCACTCATTTTTGAAGAAGTTTTATGACAACATTAGAATTTAGTGCCACCAAGGCTACAACTTCTTGGAAATAAGTTCAAATCAAGTTGAGATTAACAAAAAAATGAAGGATACTAGAGATCCTACATTGCAAAGGATGGCTTATTCGATGAAGCAGAAATTTGAGAAGTATTGGTGAAGTTATGACCAAGTGAACAAGCTTATGTACGTGGCTACTACACTAGACCCTCGATTAAAGCACCAAGGAATTAGAGTTGGCTTTAAAAATATTAGATGGGATCTTATGAACAGGACCAAGTTTGTTAAAATGTTAATGCTTCCTTGTATGAACTGTATGAGGAGTATAAGGGAGAAGCTAAAATGTTTGGAGTTATTCTTTGAATGATATTGAGCATATGGATGTTGATGATGATGCTGAGATTGATGGTGATGATGCTCAATCACAGTTCCTACGGAATCTTATCCAAGAAAGGCAAGAGCAACATCTTTTAGAGATAACCAATGAAGTAAATCAGTACCTCTCTAATCCTTTTGAAGTGTCAAGAGCCCTAAGTTCAACATACTAGATTGGTGGAAATGTAGCCAATCTAAATATCCCTTCCTTTCAAAGATGGCCAAGGACGTATTTGCCATCCCATCTTCAACTGTGGCAAGTGATAGTGCATTTAGCCTTGGCAATAGGGTATTCGATCCTTTTACGGATTCATTGACTCCAAAAATGGTAGAGGCATTAGTGTGCACTAGTGATTGGCTTAGGTTAGGTGAATTCAACTTCTACAAAGAGCCAACAAAGGAAGAGAGTGAATTGTACAAGACATGTGAAGAACTGAAAAATGTAAGTATTGGTATATTCTTTTTAATTCTAATTATAGTACTTCAACCCAATGTTTATTGATGTTTTTAATTTATTATTCAATATTATTTCTTATTCTAATCATACTTTTTTTGTGTAATATTTGAATTGAAATAGTTTATGGTTCCACATCTCAAGCAGGAATATCAATTCCAAATGCTTCGAAGAATTGATTCATGGATGATTTCATATGCATTGGTTGCTGCTACTTCATAGATGTTGCATTATCAAAACAGCAACTTATTTTTATTTGTTTTGGAATTATAATAAGGGGATCTTATAACCAAACTAGACTTTTGAGTTTTGAGTTTTTTGTGTATGCATTAATTGCTACAATTGGATTTAGACAATTATATGAGTTAGACTTTTGAGTTTGTGAACTTATAACTATTTGGATTATGTTTGATGACATTGTTGTTGGCTTATTAAGTTATGATTTGATTTCCATTTTAATTTTTAAGTTATGATTGAGGAGTCAAAATCGGATTTTTGTTGAAATTGTTTACTTAAATGTTGTGGAATCAGTTTAAGAATGAAATTGAGTTCATATAAATTGTTTACTAATTCATTTAAATTGGAATAGAGATGAATATAATTACCAAAATACCCTTGTTCTAAATAACATATTTATTTGCTAATCAATTGATAATTTTTATCAAATTAATTGTATTATTACTGATATTTTTTAACATAATAAAACCTTAATTAGTAACTATACTAAAAGTATTAATTATTTGTTTTTTTAATTTATATATTTATTAAAGAAACAATAAATTCAAGAAAAATAAATGTCATTTGCTAGGCAAACGCAATTAGTGTTTTTGATTGTAAAAAAAAAAAAAAAAAAAAAAAAAAAAAAAAAAAAAAGCACTTCCTGCTATTCCAAAAACAACCCCAAGCATGCCCTAAATGAGTAGGGTTAATGTTGACTACTTATTCGACACAAACATGAAAGAACACGACGTAAAGATAACCCCATATCCCGAATCGTCAACCTTAACTAATTAGAAGAGACCTTACATGAAGAATATTGGTAAGGCATCTAATCAATAGGAAGGAAGAGGAGGAGAGGTAGTATGTGATGTATAAACTTTGGATAATGTTAAAGATGTCAAATTTTTAAACCAAATTGTGTGTTACTAATAAGAAATAAACACGTTAATCGATACTTAATCAGTAATCTAATAATCTACTACCATATCATTCAGTTTTAAAACTTCCGTATCCCTAACATTCTCAAAAACTTGGAACTCTTTTTTTTTTTTTTTTTTGTTTGTTTTTTTTTTTTTTTCACATAAACTTAACTCATTGACACAGCCCAAATTAGTTCACTTCATCCCAATATCGGTCAATTTACATGGACTTCTTTGCATGTGCTAAAGACTACCAGGTGGTCGGTCGAGATCAAACAGGAAGGAAGGGGATTGAAACAGACGTTATAGCCAGCAGCCAAAACCGACCATGAAACATCCTCCACGTTGTCATAAAATGATGCAGATCATCATGGAACGGTAATCTTGGATTCCATCCTAATTCAAATTATAGGAATTTTAGGAATCTTTACATCTTAGCATTTATAGTACATCGGTTAGAAATCGTTTGATTTTTTTTATTTAAAATTAAATATAAATAAAACCTGACGAAAATTGATCACACGATATACGATGAACGACTAAAATATGAGAATTTATAAGATCTCCACAAAAAAAAGATCAGGAGATAATCCTCATCCATCTGGGAGATAAACCAAATGAAAAAGAAAAAGTTATAAGTTAACAGCCTGGAGACACAGAATCTATGACCTCAATGGACACCTCCAATTTCAATCTAATATTTACCAAAGCATATTATAATAATGATAACCACCTCCTAAATTAACCTTTAATTATGGAAAACAGGGATTTGGACTTTTTGGGTGATGCTTTTGGTGCCAATAAAAATATAATTAAGTACAAGAATTCTCATATCTCTACGCAGAAGCATGCCGTTGGGTACTGACAGTTGAGGAATCGATTCACTTGCATCTTTTTTAATCCAAGACGTGTATGTTGTGAATCATTCCAGGCCAAAAGAAAAAAAAAACGTCTTTCTCCTTTCGTTTTCTAGAAAGCTTCCAAATGGCAATATATGTTAGCATTTATATCACCCATTTTTTTGGTGAAACACAGCTGTGATGAAGTGGACAGAACAAAGAGAAAAACTTGGTCATAATGAAATCTTAAATCTGAAATTGAAATGAATAGAAAATTTTCTATTTTTGGTGTGCTTGGAAATACTTTTAAACGAGCTTTTTGTCAATAATTTCTTAGCCATATTTACACAACCGAGGCTATAAGACTAAAAGATGAGTGTCAAAAGGATGGGGATTCTCTCCCCTCCTCTCATAGTTTTTTTTTCTTCTTTATTTCCAAAGATTAAAAAAACAAGATGAAATCTTGAGCGTTCAAATATGAGGGGAGGAAAGAGGAGGATAAAGAATCCTTGTCTGTGTTAAAATCAATACCAATTGAAATATGCGAACAAAAATTTTCAACCAAAAAAAAACATACTAACAAAAAAATGATACAAAATTTCTATGAAAGATGAAGTCATATGTATATTACCAACATACAAAATTGGAATAAATACAAGCAAGCAAATTAACAAATGATTGAATTCCTAGAACCCAAATCTCGACAAACAAAATGATTGGATCAATTCCTAGAAACTAAACCCCAAACTACAAACTATACCAATATCATTAACAAAAACACCACCAAAATAATCATCATCTGCATACTAAATCCTTAACTGTCTTATTCTTCAAAACAAGAACCATGGTGCAATTCATATCAATAGTCTTCCTCTTCTTCATAATCTTCATCAAATGCACTCTCCCACTAATCTTTGCATAGCTGCTGATGTTCAAAAATCCAGAATTAATCTCACTCCCTAAACCACCATTTTGAACGTCCTTAGGCAGCCTATTTGACCTCACTTCAATTCTCAGGTTCACCTTCCGAGTCCCTCTCGCTTTCACGCTACCCTTGGCAAATTTAGCTTCGCCGACTTTGAACTCTCCATACCACAAGCTCGCGCTGCTGCCCTCGAACTTGTACTCCCCGAAGTTTTTGTTCTTTATGGCCATCTGAGCAGATAACGTTGCGTTGAACGAAGCCGCCGGAGAACCGGTGGACTTGAGAGTTTTGATCTGGACGGAGCTGAGATTGAAACCGGGGGATTTGACACGAAAAACAACCAAAGCAAAGACGAGGATGATTATGCTTTGGAGGACGATGCCTGCAAAGACGTAGACGAAACATTTGTTGCTTCTTTCTCTGCGTATGGCTTTGAAAGTAGGGTTTTCTTCGTCGCTTCTGCGGTGTAATCTGGATGGTGCTAGTGGCCAGATTTGGCTCTCTTGATCTGCCATCGTTTTGGGGGCTTTAAGAAAATATTGTACAAAAATGTAAAGGTGTGCTAAGTTTGGTTAAAGAGTTTTGTTTAATCATGGGGTTTTTATAGTGTGGAGTGGGGAGTGAGTGGGGTTGTCGTGTTTAATATTTCAAGCTTAGAGGATAAGAATTGGTCAGTCATGGCCTACATCCGTGTCGACTCTTGATTGTGGGATTTTATTTTATAGTTTTAGTCTTGTATTTTAGGTGAGGTTTCACTCGAGTCCTGCATTTTCATTTTTCTCTAGTTTAGTTCTGTAGTTTACTGATTGTTTTAAGACAGATAATTTTAGAGTGATGTTTTTTTTTTCCTTAACAATACGATATTTTATCAACAAATTTAGCACGTTCGGGGGCACATGCGAAGTGCTTTACGCTTGTAAAAAGTTCAGTAAAAATAGGGGCATTTGATATCATGTCGGTTTTCGTTTTTGTTTAATATTTTACTTCATAAAAATAGAGGGACTCTGTACGAAGGCGTGAGGAATGAAGAGTAGATGAAATTTAGGGAGTTTGTGGAAAGAGAATTGAAAGAAAATATAAGAAAAACTGGAAAAGAAAACCTATTAAAAGGAGCTTTCTGTTCTCCTTTGTGTACACTTCCATATAGCCATCCCTCTTTTCTCCATCATATTTCACCTTTAGAAAAAACTAAAAAGTAAAACCTAACAATGAGATGGTCATCAAACTATTCAACTAAAATGAGATAGTCATCAAAGTTTCTAATTTTTATTTTTCATTGCACATACTACTGAGTGGTATAAAAAAATCATTGTTTTAGATCTTAGACTTAAAGATCAAATTAATCTTGCAATGGTTATTTATTGCATAATACTCGGACGTAACATTGAAGCTAGCAGGACCTCAAACTCTCTTAATTTATCCTTATAAATATCACTCATTTGCTAAATTCATCAAAGTAGTTGACAAACTTAAGTCATTGTCCTTGAATAGGAGAAATTAGAAATGCTAGCTAAAAGTGCGAATATTAAAATTTTAGGGCTGTATTAATGAAATTTTATCCAAACTGTAAGGACCAGGAAAGTAATTTAACTTTAGTTATATAATAAACAGCATTCACAATAGGTCCAGAAACAGAGATATTTTTAATTTTAATTTGTGTGAAATAATAGTTCACAAGTTGAATTTGTAGGGCAACCCCGCAGTGCTTTATTGACGAGTTCAATAAAAAAATCTGGGAAGCCGCATTTTTTGTTTCATCACTTAATTGATCTTCCAGAGCACAAAGTTTTGGTCAGAATGTCATATGATAGAGTTGCGATCGACTTCTTCTGGTCCAAATAGGTCCTTAACTATTCAATCATACTTCAATAAAAAATGACTAAAAGCATGCATGCCTGAGAAATTTCAATGAGACGTACATACTGATGTAAGAACCCACAACTGATTGTGTCCTTCAAATCGCACGTTGCTGTTTTACCAAATCCTCTCTCGGACAGACAACTAACAATTAATTTATTTTATATTTTTGACAAAATATAAAGTACATATAAAACTGAATCAATTGATTCTTTCCAGGTTTTTAGAGGTTCTATCATAAAAGAAGAAGAATTAAGAGGATAAAAGGTGAACAATGTGGCTCTGATACTAAGAAGTTAAGGTTTTATCATAAAACTAATTGGCATTATGGGTAATAGCTCAACTACTTATATGCAAATGCAGGGTCTTGTTGGATGTTGAACTCTAATCCAACGACTAATAGGTCAATATAGTTAATAAGGATTGATGTGGAATGTAGGTACAATTAGGGTTTAGTTAGAAGTTATAACTTGGACTCCAAGTAAAGTATATAACTCGGTTATAATTGGAGAATAAGGGCTCTTGATACTATCCTATTTGGACTGAGATTTGGTAGATTGTATCCTTGTACAATAAGGAATTCTAGTGCGTGATTATGGGAATGCGCACTAGGGTTATAGTAGTATAAATACCAAGGGAAGGTCCTTGCATACACCACCGAAACATAAACTCAGAGAACTCCCCATAGGTTCAAGTAATACAGTCGTGGTGAGTATGCAGAAGACCCTCGTCTAGTTCAAGGTGTTCTGGTCTACTTGTTGCAGCCTCAATGCTCGTTGTGCTCAAAATGTCTTCACAAGGTTAGTATTATGGTGTTTTAATGTTTCATGAACGTATTAAGTCTAACAATTGGTATCAGAGCCAACATTTGTGTGATTAAAATCCCTAGAGAACTAACATACATGAAATCATGCATGCAATATGAATGAACTGATGTTTTTCGAGTTTTGATCCTGTTTCTTTTCCGCTGCTATATTTAATGCATGCATGCATATGTATATATAAAGTTTTGAGAAAGGCTATACCTGCATATTTATAAGAACCTTGATACAACCAATATTGCATACATTTTAATGCCCTTTAGTTTAGATTCTTGTTATGTTTTTGAGTGAATTTAGTTTGTTTCACTTAGTTTTATGTTTTTCTTAGATTTGAAGAGTGAAGATGAAGAAAGAAGAAAAAGGAGCACTTTTGCGATTGAAATGAGTTTGGCATGTTGGAAGCAGAAGTTATTTGTGCAGATCATCCAATTTTACGGATTAAATTGTACTTCCTCAGAACGAACCAGTTGTGAGCCTTGTACCATTGGAAAGATAAGTTAGCTTTCAGAGGAATTTTATGGTTCGTGATTCCGAGTTTCCTAGAAGACATTATAGTGATTCTTGTACCAGACGTAGGTCAACCAAGTCTACGCGGAAATTGCAAAGTTTGTTGGGTTTTTCAAGTCATGATTCAGTCGAAGCCCAAAGCCCAAGATAGAACGTGTGGAGCTGACTTTAATCCTATTTCAAATGGGTTTGAAGTAATTAATTGGGAAGTTTATTCGCCACATCATCAGTCATGCAATACAAAGGATATCAAAAGACCTAATTATGTGAGGATTTGTCTACTATATAAAGGGGGTCCAAGGAGCACAAAAAGAGGTGGCAGCGAGGAACAAAGCAAGAACAGCAGCCACCGACCATCTTTGCTATCCATCTTCATCATTCGGAAGTTTTTCATGTTTTTAAGATTTTTAATTATGTTTTCGTATTCTATGAGTAACTAAACTCATTTTCTAGGGTTAGGATGATGCCCTAGCATGGATGTTTATGGTTTTTAATGTTATTCATTGGATTTCTAGTTTCTTTCAACAATCACTGTTTGAATTGTTACTTTTTGTTTGAGTTCTTTGATTAATCACCTTAGAACTTTGCATCTAGTAAGATTGGAAGATGAATTTGAGGTTGAACTAGCAATATAATTCAATTAGCTTCTTGTGGTTAAGTATGGTAAATTACATTATTGCTTGACAAAGAATAATGGTTTGCTTGGTTCCCTTGTTTTCTAGAGCGTAAAGAGTCCTGCTTGTTAAATTTATGCCTTAACCAGGTAGACTGCATGTTAAAATATACGATCTCTGCCTGAACTACGAGAGAATCATTCACTTAAGGAAAACTAAGGTTTAATATGCCTGACAAGGACTTAGATACGGGAATTATCATCTAAAGAATCGAAAGATCCATTGAATGCATTGAAACCTAAACTAGATTGCTTGTGGTTGATTCCGAATCCCTAGACTTTTTCATCAATTGCCTGAAAACACAACGTGTTCTTCTGTTTAATTTTAGTCTAAATTTAGGTTCTATTTTCGTTTGCTTATACAATCATCAAACAACAAACTTTTCACATCTTTAATTGAATTATTAATTAAGATCAAGTCTAGTCCGTTGTCTAAGTTTATATTTTTGTGGTTGCGTGTTTTCCAGATAATTATATTCAGTTTAATTTATCAAATTGGAGATTGAATTAGAATCCTTGTGGGAACAATACTTGGACTTGCAAAACGCTATATTATGACTATCTTGTGCACTTGCAAGTTTACACCAAACCTCGACTGACTATGGAACTAATTAAGTAATTGCAAACATGTGCCATTATTACTTCTAGTGCTATACATATTGTTTGTACCATACTTGACCAATCCCGCAACTACTGAGCATCGGTAGACGTTATACCGTCAAGAACCCAGAAGAGTTTCCTTACAACCAGGAAGCCAATCATAGCGCGACACATGTCGACATCAGAAGCCAATCATAGCGCGACACGTGTCAACATCAGAAGCCAATCAGAACACGACATGTGTCAATGTCAGAATGAAACTAGAAACTCTTTTCTATAAATAGAGATCATTCTCTCACAATATTTCCTAATGTCATTTGTACTAAATCATTCACTAGTACTCACTGAAGGAGAGCTTGAACCTATGTACTTGTGTAAACCCTTCACAATTAATGAGAATTCCTCCACTCTGTGGACGTAGCCAATTTGGGTGAACCACGTACATCTTGTGTTTGCTTCTATGTCCCTATCCATTTACATACTTATCCACACTAGTGACCGGAGCAATCTAGCGAAGGTCACAAACTTAACACTTTCTGTTGTACCAAAGTCCTCACTGATTTTGTGCATCAATATTTTGCGCCGTCTGTGGGAACGACACTTATTCCCACTCTCTTCAGCTTTGTCAAGCTGGTTTCCACCATTCGTACACTCTCTTTTGACCAGGCATCCCTCTCCAACATGGGGAGCGAAGGAAGCCATAGCACACAGAATGACACCCCTCTTGCACTGAGTGCGAAACAACGAAAGAAAGAAGGAAAAAGGGTTGCTCTTCAAGCTAAAGTCGATGAGCTAAAAGCTCAAAACAATAAGATAGCAATGAAGAATGAGGTCTTCCAGAAACAGTATGAGAAGCTCTTTGAGACGCTCCACGAAACTATACATACTCAAACATGCGAGCTTGTTACCTCTGTGGACATCAACCATCATCTGGGTGCCCCCCAAAACGGAGGGTCACCTTTCTCACAACCCAGCTGCTTCGACCCGAAGCAGGAGAAGTGGAGGAAGACACCTCCTTGCAGAAGGGTTGGAATGATCGAAAGCCGTTTATTGTGACTGCCGAGACTTCCTAGAACAACGTCAAGAGAATCCCCTCCACATATGCTCGAAGATCAATGACCCAAGGGTTTCT